GATGAGGCCTGTTTCAGAAAGTATTTCAAATATTTTTGGCAAGATGCTGGTAAAAGCTTTGAATTCATAGATGAATTATAAATGATTTTAATCTATTCTTTAAAGCAGGCTCAAGAGGTGGTTTGTGTAATAATATCCTTTCAGCATATGTCATTTATGTGTGTACACACACACACACACACACACATATCCAAAAAAAGGAAAAAGAAAAAAGCTATATAAACTTGCTTCTCGCTGAGACCTATCTTGGCCAATTACTATCAATTAGTTTGAAAGGGCCGACTTGATTATTTCCTTTCTCTCACATGTACACTTATTGGAGGCCTCCATAACAATGACCAGGCACTCTACACACTTTGGCTCACTGAATCATCACTGGACTCCAAGAAGTTAGTACTATTACTAGCCCAATTTCACAGATGACAAAAGTAGGGTTCAAAACAGTGAGAATTTGTCCCCTAAACTCACAACTGGTAAAAGAGCAAAGACTCAAGCCTTGATTATTGGTCTCCAAAGCTAGTGTGCTGAACCACTATATGGAAATGCCATTCTCATCTACTTATTAAAAAAAAATCCTCATCAAATATAACTTTGGTAATAATGCTTTAGATCTGCATAATACTTCACAGTTGACAAAAAAAAAAAAAAAACAAACTTCTAATCCCTGCAGCTACTTCTCAAATAGCACAGAGTACAACATTTGTGTGTATAAACCATTTTCCTCTTGATCACTTCCTACAAAATTCAGAAATGCTACACTGCAGAATTTTCTCTGGTCCCACATCACCCAAGGGAGTAGAGGAAGATCTGTAAATTTAAGATACGGATATGAAAATGAGTAAAATCCTTTATGTACTCCTTGAAGCAACTCTACATTCATTAGCTGATTTAAAACCACCTCGTAAGAAAATGGGAGTCTTCCTGAGGCAGGTATGAGGAGACCAAGTCCCAGAGTGAACAAGGGTCACTGGCAGGACAAAACTCAGGTCATCTAGTCCTCTTCTTGGAAGTCTGAGCCACATCCTGGGAGCCTAGGGGGCCTCCACCTTGGAAACTCAGACACCAACTGTGGGTTGGCCAGTGGCAGGTGGGTCCTGAGGTGCAGAACCAAGGAGTGCCAGCCAGCCCACCACTTGCAGCCATCATTCTGCACTCTGAAGAGGCCAGGTGCTGAAATGCCAGTGTGATATCTCCTGTGCCAGTGTACTGAGGGAAGCCTCAAAAGGGACCCAAGTTAAACGAATAGCTTTAAAAGTGAAAAATTGCCAAGCTTTAAAAAAAAAAAAAAGCTAGTGTAAGAAATGAGACACACCTCAGGTCTGGACCGGAGACTTACAGGAGATACTTTTTTCAGTTCCTTGGTCATAATGGGATTGCTCCTCAAGGACAACTTAATGTTCTATTGCAGCACTAGTTACAGACATTCTCAGCTCTTCCCAAAGAGCACCACCACCAGAGATAAAAATGTTCATGACTGCTCATTACTTGGCTATACAGGGCACACGGTTCATAAATTTCATACTCACCTTGAGGAAAAAAGGGTCTGTTGTAACACCAAAGATTTTCCAGCACATTAGTCTTACAATGCTTTAAAAATGTATAAACACCAAATCAGTGTTCAAGTCAGTACAGGAATACAATAGGATGGCATGGCCACATGAAAAGAAAGGAGCCCAAGAACAGAAACAAATGTTTTAAAAATGGTCAACAGACTTAGAAACATACAGCATCATCTCACACTTCCTCATTAGAGGGCAACAACATTTGTGATTTTTGCCTGAAAGTGGGTGCCTTTTAATTCAGTGCTTTGGGGATTCCATTTGGGTTGGTCTGATGGTCCCTCAGGTCTATGCAACAGAAATTATCTTTCTTGGAACATTTATGTCCTTCTGGTTTCACAATGTCTCTACTGCCCACCCTGCCTATAACCCCCACCAAAAAAAAAAAACTGTGGAAAAAGAATCTTCAGATTAAAATAAAAAGTTTAAAATTGCTTTAACAAACAAAAAGGACAAATGAGAAAGTAACTTGGCTATAGCCAGGTGGAGAACTGTCAGAAGAGGAAGAAGGAAGAGGCCAGCTCCTCATCAGTGTCCCCTGTTAGCTATCTCCTTCTCTTCTGAGATGTCCCACACAGAGCCCCCAGGCCTCCACTTGCACTCCAGCATTGGTTGTATTATACTGCTTGCCCACGGTCTCCCCACTAGACAATGCAGGCCTCAGCACAAGGCTGCCATGTCACAGGTACCTTGGTGCCCCTAGCCTCTGGCCCAGAGCTGGCCACTCGACAGAAACTTGGAGAACACTGGCTCAATCATCCAACCTGGCTGGGAGGCTTTGTTTTTCAGATATGTTTCTTACTTCACCCAAGGCACCCTTCAGCATTTCCTACCAAAGTGGCTGTCTGAAGAAGTAGAGGCAGTGGTTAGCCCCCAGTAAGCCTACTACTCTAATTTTGGGGGAAGACTTAGATTTTCTTTTTAAAATTCACATATCCTTTGCATTCTCCTTTGTAGTTGTATTGTAAAAATAATGTCTTTCAAAAATTTATTTTTTCAGTAAACTGTTCATGAGGATGTGTATATTTTTAATTCTCCAGGTTTGGGTATCTTCCCAAAGGTCACATATTGAACCCCCATCATTATAACAGAAAACCACTCCTCCTATCTTTTCCTCTTTTTTCTTTTTTTTTTAAGCACCTCCTGATTTGGCTCCTACCTCTGCTTCATCATGCTGGGGCAACAGTTTTGCCCAGGGAAGCTGAAAGATAAGGCATGTCACTGGCACTGTTAAAATTAGAGGTTTCCATGGTCTCCGTCAGTTTAGCTGGGTTTAGGAGACAAGGGGCGCCAAGGAATTCACAACAGAACTGCTGTTAACCTTGTATGGGCAGTTCCTGTGGCAAAGCTTCTCCAGGGATAAATGCTGCTCTCACCAATCCTGACCTTAAACCTAAGGCCACAGAGACTCATTGGGAGGAAGGTCTTTTAAAGCTGCAGTGAAAGAACATGATCTGTAGAAGGCACCTGAGCCGGGGAGGGGGAGTGTGTCATCCCCAGCTCAGACCTGGCCCTACTCCTCTCACTGAAGGGGTCCTGGCTTATGGGCCATTTCTAGAGAGTAGCTTCACATGATATTGTGTATGTGCGCATGGAACTGACCATAATTATAGAATTCTCAGTGCTGACCTATGAAAACAGGCAGAGTAGATTTAAGGGAAAGCGAAGAAAGCAAGCTGAGTTGGATAACTAAGCTCCACTCTCTGCTCTGCAAAAGGCAGTCAATTTTCAAAAAACATAAGAAAGTCTTCCTTACTAACATGATAACATCATGTCCCCAAGGTACAATGTTGGAAAGAGCAAAATGAGGTGAGTCAGGAGGACATAAACTTTCTTGGACTCAAGCCCATCAACACTATTTCCTGAGGATGTCTGGGCCAGTGCAGCAACAAAAGTTCCTCCAGGAGACCGGGCACCTCCCACCACAATGGCCACATGCTGAAACTATCTCTGAGAGAGTCTAGGTAGCCTGTGGCTCCTTTATCTGGAGCACCTGAGGAATGGTGAGATAGAGAGCTGCCCACAGGGGCTCTGGGATAGCATCCCAACCACAGGCAGGAAAGGGCCTTGCAATACCAGCAGACCCTTTCCAAGCCAGTCTCTCCCAAGCCCTGTTAATATGGAGTCAATCCAGAGGCAAGGTGGTAAACAAAGAGAAAATTTAAAAATGATGACTGAATGAGAAGGATCATTATGAGGCCACAGGAAATGTATGTGAGCAAGTATGTCATTCTGCCTTAAGGAAAGATACTCCATAGTCTGATTAGAAATGAATCAGAGGGACAATACTCATGGTGACAGCAAGCTAATAAAGGATCCTAAGCTTGTAAACTGATGGGTATTTGTGCATTTCTCCTTCACAACAAAATCTGAAGCACCACCATTTATAATGCCCTGAGGGTGACTACTAAAACACCTTGTTATATGCTAATGGAAAGTAAACCACAAGAGACAAAGGTCTTCCTGGGGGAGACCAAGGCTGGGCGGCCTTTTCCTCACTTGTAATCAATCTCCACACACTCTCATACTAATGCTTCAGGGGAACATTTTCATTAAATTGACAGTGTTTGGCAAGCATCAGAAACACAGAATCTCACAGACAGATACAGGCAGAAAGAATCACAGTTCAATTCAAAAGCAACACACTGAGGGAACATCAGAGTCCAAATGCATGCAGAAAAGCCATCAGAGAGCAGCTGGGAGACACACAGAGCCGCCTCACACACGGCAGCAGGAGAGTGTGCGACATGGATCCAACTGCTTACCCACTAAGGACACCAAGAACCAGGTTAAGGACGAAAAATGAGCCAAGGATGATCAGACTAACAAAATACACCCATGGCCATTCCCATCCTATCGCATCATTTACCTGTAAAATGTAAGGAGATCAGTTATCAGTTATCCATTTACTAAAGAGCAGAGCCCCAGTTGCAGCTGTCAGACCACTCAGTGCTTTGGCTGAAGGTTAGTGCTCATAGTATAGGGACTGGGCCTAGGTAATTCCATCTTCTTCTTCCAATACAGACAAGTTCTATTGCTAAATCTACAAATGCAGCCTACTAAAAGTCTTCCCAGACCAGCTCACTTAGCTAAAGTTTTGTACCAATTAATGTGCATTAAATTTGGATCCAGACCAAGAAAGCAATTACAAACGTATCTCATTTTAGGAGAGTCAAAAGGGCAAGCCATGGAAACTGTTTAAATCCCAAGTAACAACGTTGATTAATTTCTGGTCAATAATCATTCTATAGCTTTCTTTCACAAAGACTGGTGAGGTTCCAGGAAACCCCTTGATCTGGGAAGCCTCAGCAGAAAAGAGAGCATCTCAAACCAGACATGAAGCATTTGGCACCCACCCGGAGGCCCCCTCTAGCAAAGCCTGTGTGGTCTTGGCAACTGTCCTCAGGACTCTGCTTTCAAGATGAAAGAGGTGTAGCTTACCCGCTCAATACACCAAGTACAAGATTTAGTACGAAAAATGACCCAAAGATGACGAGACTGACAAAATACACCCAGGGCAATTCAAATCCCATAGCATCATTCATCTGCAAGAAATAAGATGGTCTCATAGGAGTGGATTAATAGGAGAATCTAATAAGGAAAGAGGGTCACATTAGAGAGAGCATTCTATACATTTAAATAAAACATTTACTTAGACTGAAATCAGAGACAGCAGCCAATGTACATTCATTGCATATTCCTAGCACACATACACACACAAGCACGTGCACCCACACACAGGAAGAGTGTCTGAGGCTTTGAGGCCAGATACTAGCACATCATGGTCCCAGGTAGGGAAATCAATTGGGATTTGGCCCTTTCCTGCAGGAAACTGCCTCACTAAGCAAAACTAGCTCTTAGCTGGAATCTGTTTTCTGCTCTGTGGAGTTGATAGTATTAACTTTACTTTTAAAATTTGTGATGGTGGAAAAGTCTTCATTATAGAGACAAACTTACAATATTTGACTCTATAAATGCTTTTTCAAAAAAATAAATCTCCTAAAATGATAAGCTTCTAGTGGAAGTCAACCTATCAAAGAAAATCTAACCTTAAATCTGGTTTATCCATAATCAGTGAGTAGAAATATAACTAAATGAATGCAAAAAAGAGAAAACATTTCAGAGGCCAGTAAGCTGACACATATTCAGGGGTCACTTAGGGAACAAGATTTTTCTCACTTTCACTCACATAAGGATGCCGGCTTTAACCTAGATGACCTCCCATAATGGCCCCAGCTGTGAGATGACCAAGTAGAGACATGAAGAAGGGCTCTGCCAGAAGAACCTGTCAACCCTACATCTAGACAAGCTCAAGCTGCGTGTGTATTTGGGCGTGGCTTTGTCAGACTCTCCCAGGGGAGGTTTTGTAGTGAGCAGCTTTCACACTAGAGCAGACAGGTGCTTTAAGGATCACAGCTGGATGGAATTTTCCAACAGCACAGGTCGGTGTTAAATTGGGCAAACATCTCTCCAAAGCAGGAGGTGTTAAAGACCAGTCAGGAGACAGAATGGAATACCCCCAGGCCTGACCCTTCTGGCACATCCAGAATCCTCAGCCAATGAAGAATCTGGGTGATCTCTCTTGCCCTGCAGGGATCAGCCCTTAGGGTGTTTAAACCTGTGCCTTCTTGTACCTTATCTGGCTCCCGGCTTTAGCTTTACAGAATAAGGCTCATGCATTTCACAATGTTTGCCTCATGCAGAAGCCAAACAGGAAAAGAGAACATTAAAAAAAAAAAAAAAATCACCTACCATCTGTTGCTGAAGCCTAGGGAGAGGGCATTAAATCCCCTGTGAAACACCTGTTTGGCCACATGAAAATTGATGTGCTTAATAGAACTCATATCAGTCTGCACATCTTATACTGGCAATTAGAGTAATGAATGAGCCAGGGCTGTGGCTGCAATTGTTGATCTAATTAAGTTGGATAAACTAATTTCAGCAGGAAGGCAGAGGGTAATTCTCCCAAAGCAACTATGCCACTAAACTTATTTAAAAACCCATGTGTGTAGAAGAAACAGGCTGCCTGGTGGGGTGGCCAGAGCCTAGTCTCAAATCAATACTTGTGACAGATTCTCTCTGGGCCTGTTTTCTTCTGTTGGAACAGAGGTGCATGTGGCAGAGGAGAGTGTTATATGGGGGAAGGGGAGGATGTACAAGTGCAGGGCTCCATTAGGAAACCTCACTTTTCTACCACTCTGCCAGTGTAAGCTGACCAGGGCCATCTGCTTCTCCAGTACTCCTTTAGACTTCAGTCTGGTGTCCCAGAGTATGACTCTAGTAACCGCTGTTTATTCCATTTGGAAGGGAAATTTTTCTTTAAAGAAATTAAATTCCCTTTTCATTTCTTGAGAGTAGGTGCTCAGCAGATTGGCATTTGATCAAATTAGAAGTATCACCTGGAGTGACAGCTGAGGGCAAGCTGCAGCGAAACAATAGCCACAGGAGACTAGCTCTCTGCCAGAAAGGGGACAAGAAGACATAACTTAAGCTCTAAGGGCCTGTCTTTCTCCCAACTAAACCTTCTCTACCGAGTCCCTTTCTGAGCCAATATTTCTTAGACCTTACCATACACATTGGGAAAAAAAAAAAATCAGAACTGCCAAGCTGTTCCCCCAAAAATACCCATGTGAAGACGGAGAGTGTACTTCAGACTGTGCATAATCTTTATTAATAGTGGAGAAACTGGGACTAGGGTTGTGCCTCAGTGGTAGAGCACTAGCCTAGCACTTGCAGGGGCACTGGATTTGATCCTCAGCACCACATTAAAAAAAAAATTTAAATAAAGGTATTGGGTCCAACTACAACTAAAACAAAATATTAAAAAAAAATTAGTGGAGAAATTCACATAAGCTAAAGGTCTTTGATTTATCCTGGGCTCCAAGAAATAGTTTTCTATTTAGATTCAGCTCTTTCTCATTTTAGAGGCTAAATTCAACATTCATGTCTTAAATTGAAGGCCAACTTAAGGCCTTTTGTTTTCTCTAACTGTTGAAAACACTACCGAAAACTTCATCCACTACTTGTAGTTCCCCAGGCATGAAATATGAGAAAGGCAATGCCTTGACTGATGACCTGGACAGGAATTTCCCAGGTGCTTCAAATGAAGGACACTGTCAGTTGACCATGAGCTTCCTATTAGAATCGGGCAACGGGCACCTCCATAAGTGTGTGTACCATTGAGGAAAGAGCTCAGTGCTCAGAAGAGAGGCCATCAATGGCTTAGATGAATAGCTCTCTCCTGAAACCAATACTTTCAAAATTAATTTTCTACATTGAAAAATATTTCCTCTAAGTTAAAGAAGAAAAAAAGGAACACATGCCATTCTAATTCTTTACCTTATAGATAAGGAAGTTAAAGTCCAGAGAGGTTCAGTAACCTGCCCAAGGTCACACAATCAGCCTCATCCAGCCTCAATATTCTTATCTGCACTATGCCCTACCGTCTTTATGGGCAACATATATGTAAGTCAAACAACACTTTAATTAGGTTTATATAGCTCACTTTGTTTAAAAAAATAAAAAGCACTACAATAATTATTTTTCCACCAGAAGTCGATGATTTCACTATCCATGCTTCCAAATAATTCTGTCCTAGGTGTGCCTTTCTGCATATGGGACATACTGCTCTTCTCAAGACCCTGCCAGCCATTTGCCATACACTATAGAGAATTACAGCATTAACTAGCTTGAGAATACTGACTGAATGTAAACTTGACTAGATGTAAAACATTCCTCCACAAAGACTTTGTCCACCATATTCAAATACCTAAAGGATTGTGAAATTTGCTTGCATTTATTTAAAATGCAATCTCCTTTGTTACCCAAGATATTCCTTTTATGCCCTATTCATGGATTAAAAATAGATTTTCAGACATGGTCCATCTACACTAATGAGGCAGTAAACCTGGACCTCTTGAAGTGTGGCAACAGTCACTTTCATTTGATGAGCACCTGCTCTGTGCTGGACAGGGATGTTCTGTTCTAAAACACAGCTGTGTGGGTTTCCAGCTGAATGTGGCCCATAAAATATTAGGAAGGCTTGGTTCCTTGGCTCCTGCCTATCTCTATGATGGGTTAATAAATGCAATCAACAAGTAATTAAAAATAATTCTGATGTGTTTCAGAGAGTAAGATCTTAGAGAACACTCTGGAAGACATTACTTAGCTGCCCCCTAGTGTTTTGGAAGGATTCACAAACTGCTGACAAGTAGAAAAATGCCAAGAAAAGACTACTGGGGTGCCTGGGGTTGTGGCTCAGTGGTAGAGCACTAGCCTACCATGTGTGAGGCACTGGGTTCGATATCAGCACCCAAATAAAAATAAATAAAGTTATTATGTCCAACTACAACTAAAATATTTTAAAAAAAGAACTACTGGGTTCTAGTATAGACTAGGGGGTCCCCAAACTATAACCCAAAGGTCAAATCTAGCTGCTGCCTGCTTTTATATGACCTTTAAGTAGCTGTTACATTTTTAAATGTCGGGGGGCATGGCAAAAAAAGAATATTTCATAACACATAAAATGTCATATGAAATTTAAATTTCAGGGTCCATAAATGACATCTAGGTGGAATAGTGCCATACCTACTCCTTTGTATATTGTCTGTGGCTGGTCTTGAGCTCCAACAGCAGATCTAAATAATTCCAACAGGGACCACATGGCCTGCAAGGCCAAACACATTTACTACATGGCCCTTTATAAAAATGTTTGCATATCCATACTCTAGACAAAGAAAAAAAAACAGCTAGAAGACCCTGGGAATATACAGTGATCTCTATATCCCACTCTCTCCAGCTTCAAGATCTCAGACCTTCTATAAAGGAATATATATTGATGTAATGTTTAGGAATTACTTAAGCTCCTCCATCAGAATAAAGAGGCTATGTAATTCATAGAGAATGTAATTATGTTGTCAAATTATTAACTATGTGATTGTCATACTAACAATAAAGATAATTATATCATCATCCTAGGTGATACTTAAAAGTTCTCTAGAAAGCAAATGGAAACTTGTTTGGGGGAGGAGTTTTCTCTTTTAATCACACGTTCCCAGAGTTTTCACTGCTTGGTAACAGGACAACTGTGAGGGAATCATGTAGAAATGTAACAAAGTGTAATATTATTCATTAGTCCAGGCATGTTGGATCAGCAGTTGACAATTCATCCATAACAATAAAGAGTAAAACCAATCTGAGGGGAATCAGATTTTTATTTTTTAAAAAAATTCAGAATGTTGCTTTCTGTACTGTTTGGGGGAAATGGGTCAGAGTTTGGGCAATTTGGGCTGGGGTTGTAGCTTGAGTGGGAGAGCACTTGCCTAGCATGTGTGAGGTCCTGGGTTCAAACCTCAGCACCACATAAAAATAAATAAATAAAATTAAGGTATTGTGTTAAACTACAACTAAAAAAATTTTAAAACGTTTGGGCAATTTGGATGATTCTTTTTCTGTTTATCAGAAACTTAATGGAAAGATGGATTGAGGCCTCACTTTGAGTAGGATTTGCAATTTAGGAGACAGGCATAAAAACAAACACTGTATCTGACCTGAGGAGTCCCTGTGCCTGGCCATGATCTAAGCTCATCCAATATAATATCCCACCTGGTTTCCTTTTCATGAAAAGGCCTTGTCTTACAAATATAATTAACAGATGTGCATATTGACTCACACAGAAGCACACAAACTCACTCTCACTCTTTCTCTTCCCCATCCCCCATAAGAATCATAAAAATGATGGGAAGGAGGAGAAACAAGATATAACATGTTGTTGATACATAAGCCTTACCAAACTAGACTCACACTTTGGACACTAAAGGTAAAAATATGCCTTGCCTAACATTGAACATACAGTCGTCCCTCAGTATCTGCAGGGGATTGATTCCAGGACACACACCCCCCAATACCAAAATCCACAGATGCTCAAGTCCCTTATATAAAATGGCAATGCACTGCATATGACCTACACACATCCTCCTCCCATGTACTTTCAATCATCTCTAGATTACTTTTGATTCTTAATACACTATAAATGCAATGTCAGTAGTCATTTAACTGCATTATTTATGGAAAGAGAAAAAGGTTGCACATATTCAGTAGAGGTGCAATCTTTTTCATTCCCAAATATTTTAAGTCTGCAGTTGGCTGGATGCGGAGATGTGAGACCTGTGGATGTGGAACCCATGGATACAGAGGGTCGACTGTATAAGGGTTTCTATAACCTGGCAAGCATAGAGCCCACCAAGGAAGGGAAACAAAACCTATGTATAAGCATTATATGTCCTTAAAGTTATAGAGTAAAAAAAATAATATAAAATCCTATCAAGTTTAGATTTGGAAACTATGAGGCGATACTTCTCAATTTGTAGGCCTTCTAACAAGAAGCCATCAATCAATTCAAGAAGTACTTCACTACTAATTTCCTTTTAACAATTCATTATTGGAATTCTAGTTAACCACAATTGGACTGGGATTTAGGCTCCAAATCTACATGTTAGCTATTTTTTTCCCAGTGACTCTTATATAGCAGGAAAGAATATCTAAACTTCTGTGAGGTTTTCAATTCTACCAATAAGCCTGGCACTGTGGCACATGCCTATAATCCAGCAGCTCAGTAGGCTGAGGCAGGAGGATGGTGAATTCAAAACCATCCTCAGCAAAAGAAAGGCACTAAGCAACTCAATGAGACCCTATCTCTAAATAAAATACATAATAGGGCTGGGAATGTGGGGCTCATTGGCCTAGTGCTCCTTAGTTCAACCCCTGGTACCACCATCTCCCCCCCTGCAAAATTCTACCAATAAACAAACTCAGCCAAGGAGTTTATAATACTACTGTACTTCATTCATAGTGTCAGAAACAAAAGGAATCAGACCCTAGTCATTGAAAGAATGTCCAGCTGTTGGATGAGACTACCAGCCTTGGTAGTTTGACACCTTTTCTGCCTTACCAGAGTTCTATAGCCCCTAAGAGATAGAAAGAACTAAGGACTTGTGCTGGGCTGACTTATATTAATGCAAACATTATAAAAAAGAAATTATGATGGGAAAAACTTGTGCTGGGAAAAGGTTGTACTGAGCTATGAAAAGTATGAAAGGGATCCAGATTATCATCCCTTTGGAATCTAGTAAAATAATCTGCCTTTATGTATGAAAACTCAGTTTCAGCCTGTAGAAGTTGAGTGAGAAACCATACTCTGGCTCTCAAGAGTTTAATCAGAACATCCCTGGCCACCTGAAGTTCCTCCCACAGGGAACTGGGCAGTCAGCAACAATTCTCCAAGCAGCACTGGGGAAGGGGAAGACTAGAAGGCCAGAAGCCAATAATACGCAGAAGCCTTCAAGAACTTAACTCTAAGGGAGCAGAATGAAGAGACTCAATGAGTGAAAGCAAGGTCTACTTCCCTTCCCCAATAACTGACTTCCAGAGTTTCTTTTTCAGCCATCTCTCACTAAGGAAGCATCTATCCAAGGAAAGAATAAACTCTCTCCTCAAGTGGCTTACCCAGTACAGCACATCTGTCCAGCCCTCCATGGTGATACACTGAAACACAGTGAGCATGGCAAAGGCAAAGTTATCAAAATTGGTGATGCCTCCATTTGGGCCAACCCAGCCACTCCTACATTCCGTGCCATTGGCGGTACACTGGCGTCCATTCCCTGAGAACGCACATGGAGCTGGGTCCTCTTCAGCTACGATATCTGTAAAGACAAAGCAGGATATGCCACACTTGGGAGAGGAACATCCAAGCCCAGAAGACATGCTAAAGCCTAGAACACCCCATCTCCCACTCATGCCATCTCAGAATCCTAGTTGCCCTTCAAGGCCATTTTGAATACTTCTTCCTCAATGGAATTTGCCATTTCCTCTCATCACAATCCACTACTCTTCACTCTGTACTCAATCTTACAGTTCTTTCCTGAGCTTACAGATCACAATGTTATTGGTTTGGCTCATGGAGGTCCCTTATCTTGTTTGCTAGGACACATTACACAGGAAATCAGAATGGAAAGGAGATTAAGTTCTCATTTATTCTTAACATAATTCACACTAAGAACTAGCTCAATAGACTTGCTGGTATATTTGGCATCAAGAAATACCCTTCTCACATTTTTTATTTTATTTTTTTTTTCTAAAACCAAACGTTGCTTATTGGGGAAACCAAAACTTTTAAAAGTTAGATTAGTTACCATTTTCAGTTCTTACCTGAGTCAGCAAAAAAACATGTTTTGTGCATTTTTCCAATAAAAAGTTCCAATCCTATAATAGCATAGATTATGATTACAAATAATACCAAAAGGGCTATGTGAAGGAGGGGAACCATGGCTTTTATAATGGAGTTCAGGACAACTTGTAAACCTGGGAAAGAGAAAAATCAGTTTGTGAGCCAGGAAGACAATTCAGATGAGGCACATATATGATTCCTAATAATACTTGCTCTGTTTAAGATGTATAGTAATAAAACTGGATGGAAGGTGAGCTGAAGAGGAGAATTACAGATCACCTAATCCAACTGCCTATCAGGAAGGAAAAATAAAGCCTGTGAAGGACTGCTGATGTCACTCTTTCATTTATTTATACATTACTTATCCATTCAACAAAACTCCTTGACCATCTACCATGTGCAAAATAAAGGTTAGTGCTTTGGATAATATGAAAAGATATTACATAAAGTGTCTCTCCCAAGGTTATGTTCTAGAAGGAAATATAAGAATATTATACAAATTATTCTCAGGTAGCACACAGATGCTATAAGCATATTAAATGGTTAAAATTAAAAAGAGATGAAAGACATTGCCCTTGAGTAGGGTGAGGGAAGACAACTCCTAACAGGGCCTACAGGGTGAGTAGGATGGATTTCCACAGATGGGCATGGAGTGAGAACCCAGTACCAAGAGTAGCACAGCAGGAATGAGCACAATGTAGGTTTGGGGTGAGGTTTTTTTAAAAATATATATGTATTTATTTATTTATGTTTCAGGTGCACACAATATCTTTATTTCACATTTATGTAGTGCTGAGGATCGAACCCAGTGCCTCGTGTATGCTAGGGTGCATGCTAGGCGAGTGCTCTACCACTGAGCCACCACCCCAGCCCTGGGGCAAGTTTTGATCAGTGATCATGTAGTAGAAAAGAACATCAGGAAAGAGAAGAAGATTGCAGCCATATCATTCTGAGTTTTGAATTTGGGTTATGGAGCCAGACTTTAGTCCATCAGCAAAAGATAGCTTCCTCATAAAGATGAACAGGACAGCAGCAGGTGAGATAGGCAAGAAGTATTTCAAGAGTGACAGGACCCCCAGGTAGGTTAGAATGAGGATCAGGATGAGACCAGAACTGAACAGTCGGATGGAATGAAAGAAAGGCACTTGGTGGCACTCTGAATATCTAAGCCAGGGTAACAAAGAAAATCCCAACATCCAAAACAAAAAACAAGTGTTTCAAAAGAAGGATCTTTCGGAATTAGGGACAAAGGCCAGGAGGCAGAGGAACAAGAGTGACTTTAGATCTGTCCAGTTTGAACACTTGGCATAACATTAAGGTGCAAGTGTCCTGTAGCTGAAATGTGAGCTTGATAACGGAGAGACACAGGCGTTGCACAGAGCAACCATGCAGGTCCAACTGCCAAGGAAGAGATGGGAATGATGAAGAGGGTTGGTGGGGGATTGGGAGAAGGACAGCAGGAATCAGAACCCATACTAGAACCAGGCTTCCTGACTCCCTGGTTACTGGTCCAGCGTTCTCCCCAACACCCATGATCTCAAATTCTGCTGTTTTTCTTTTCTCCTTGTCCCACTGTCTCTCTTTTCTCAAACTGCCCTTTTTCTAGTATATTCTTAGTTTCCTAATACCTATTCAAAGAAAGAATATAAGACACTGATGTACTAAAGGTAAATAAATTAAAAGTCAGAATAAGCAAAGGAAAGAGAATACTTACCAGCAATAAAAACAAAAGTTTGCCATTACAAGTAGCATTGGGAAGAGGCAGGGGAGTGGGAAGGTCAGGGAGGGAAGATTGACAAGAGGGTTTCACATCCAGGAAGACCCTGTCTTTCTAAAGCCTTCAATACAACACAATACTTGGTGCTACCTTTAAATGTTTAAATGTTTATTTGGGGGGAAATATGACAAGTAGTATGATTTTCAATATTTTTGCATCCTAAAAGGAATTAAATGGAGGGGCATGAAAAACATTGGCTTGAAACTATGTGGAGGGGCTGGGGCTCGGGCTCGGGCTCAGTGTAGCGAGCTTGCCTTGCAAGTGTGAGGCCCTAGGTTCGATCCTCAGCACCACATAAAAATAAATTAACAAATAAAAGTATTGTCTCCATCTACAACTAAAAGAATATTTTTTTAAAAAATTAACTATGTGGATTTTTTTTTTTTTAGAGAGAGAGAATTTTTTTAATATTTATTTGTTCGTTTTTGGCAGACACAACATCTGTGGTGCTGAGGATCAAACCCGGGGCCACATGCATGCCAGGCAAGCACACTACTGCTTGAGCCACATCCCCAGCCCCAGATTTTTTATTCGTTTTTCTTTATTTTTTTGGGGGGGGGGCATGGATAGGTCATCCCAAATCATCTATCAGTTAGCTTTTCAAGATTATGGAAACTATATGCCTCACGAACATTTTTATGTTTAGTGTAACAACTGTATTTCAGATTGGCCCAATTTATGAGATGACAGAGTTGTACCTTAATGTGAACAAGTATATGAACTTTATATTCAGTCCTTTGGACATAATCAACATGTACAGTAGATCTCATGGGACTCTAATCAAGGAGGTATGAGAAGGAGTAGAATGAATTGCCAGGCCAAGAATGAGGGGACGTGGTGCTGGCCTTGTGCAGCTGCCCACCAGCTTGAGAACCTCTAATCACCACCTCTTGACAGGCCTTGGCTTGCTTATTTAAAAGAAGATGCAGAGAAAAGAGACTTTTTAAACAGATGATGCTTAGAAAACTGGATAACTATATGTAGAAAAATGAAGTTAGACTGCTCTCTCTGATCCTGAACAAAACTCAAATTGAAAGGGATCAAAAATGTAGGAATTATATCAAACTCTACAACTGCTAAAAGAAAACATAGGGCCAACACTTCATCATGTAAGTGCTGGCACTGGCTTCCTTAGTAAGACTCCAAAAGCACAAGAAATAAAACCAGGAATTCAATAAGTGGGATGCCATCAAACTGAAAAGGAAATGATTAAGAGCATAAGAGAGCCCACAGAATGGGAGAAAATCTTGGCCAGCTACTCCTCTGATAGGGGATTGATATCCAGAATATACAAAGAACTCAAAAAACACCTAAAACACACAAAAAACCCCAAATAACCCAAATCAATAAATGGACAAAAGAACTAAATAGAAACTTCTGAAAGAAGAAACACAAATGACCAAATCCATGAAAAAATGTTCAGCTTCTCTAGCATAATTAGGGAAATGTAAATCAAAATTGCACTAAGATTTTTTTCTTACTCCAGTCAGAATGGCAATGATCAAGAATATGAACAATAATAAATGCTGGTGAGATGTGGGGAAAAGGTATGTTCTTGGTGGGACTGTTGCCTAGTACAACCAATCTGGAAAGCAGTATGGAGACTCCTCAAAAAACTAGGGATGGAACCACCAATATGACCAGCTAAAATACCCCCACTCATTGGTATTTTCCCCAAAGATCTAAAATCAGCATACTACAGCAATATAGCTACCTCAAAGTTTAGAGCAGCATAATTCACAATAGCTAAAATATGAAATCAATCCAGATGCCTGTCAATAGATAAATGGATTAAGAAACTGTGGCATTTATATACAATGGAGCTCTACTCGGCTATAAAAAAGGATGAGATTATGGCATTTGCTGGTAAATGGATGGAAATAGAGAATATGGTTCTAAAGAATTAAGGTAAATTCAGGAGCTCAAAGGTCAAATATTTTCTCTTATGTGCAGAATCTAGAGTAAAATAAAGGAAAGGGGGATGAAAGGACAGGATAATATAAAGAACCAATCAAATGTAAATTAATACACAAGTCAAAGGAAGTCAAGTAGAGGAAGGAGAATGGAAGAGGGGAGGAAGGATAGGAGAGAAAGGGGGGATCATGAACTGAAACTGATTTCCATGTATGTACAAGTTTGTCAGGATGAACTAAAGAGCTCTGATTTTTTTAAAAAAATGCAGACATACCAGAGTATCTTTAGAGTTCTTTCCCACTTTGATGATCTTGGAATTTGGTAAACACTGATCAGCTAACTGAATCCGGGTGGTAAATAACTCCACAAACGTCTGAACTACCACTTTTGAAATACACTTGCCTTTCACTAATGACTATTCCCATACAAACATGCACACAAAATTATGTCTTCTAGAATAGTCTGAAATCTCTTTTGAAGGGAGCAGACAATTCATAGATAAGTATAAATAATGAAACATTCCTAGGCATTTTCAATGATTGCAGGTACTTAGAGAAGAATCATCAAGCCACAGATGCCAACCAACACAGGAAAGAGCATGGCCCTGGAACCTAACTCCTTCCCCTAAAAAATCCATTTGGGTTTGATGAGAGGAATGAATGTTCCCTTCTTGGTCAGTTAAAATACAGGCTTAAAAGTCCTCCTGTTTCTCCCTGTTGTCCTGTAATGGGAGAGATCAGATTTCCATCAAGTTGCAAATAGTAGTGTTTCTTGGAAAAAGTTAAGCTATACAGTTGAAAACTGGCTCTCCAGAGTATGGAGGGGCACAGTACTAGTCCGTCTGCAGAAACCTCATTAGTCAACATAATGCCATGTGGATTCTGGAATTTTCATCGGCCAGAAGTGCTCATGCACGCACGAGCCATAGCCTCAAAAGTCTGCATGCAACAGTCCTGTCATTTTTCTCTTTGGGGGAAAAGGCTGTCATGGTTACTTTGAAATTAGATTAAGCTATAACAACTAAATCGGAAACAACATGTTTGCTCACTGAAATTCTCATTTAATCTTGTTACACTTAAAAAAGCCAGTCATTTTCAAGGTATTTCTACTTTTCCCAATTGCTTCCAGACAGTTCTGTGGTTCAGACTTGTGCTGATCTTTTTCAATGAAAATAAATGAACCATCTGGAAAAACAAGTACACATAAAACACCACTTCCTACACTTTAAAATGTTAAATTTGGAAATAATTCTGTGGGGTTTTTTTTTTCTTCCAGAGGATTTTTGGTGCATTCTGAGTGCCAACAGGTTTAATAAAATTCCATGAAGAATTTCTGGAGAAAAAAAAATCTGTGCTCTTCCGATGACTTTATGAATTGTAGAAAATAGGCACATCCTATAGTCCTGTATCCCTAACTTCAGTTTTGAGCAGGTGACCATCTCAGAAGCACCAGTCCTAAGAAAGGCATTAGGACTTCTATCCTCTGAAGTCCCCAATACAGGGGTCTGCCTAAAGGGAAGGACAATGAGGCAAACCCCATACTTCTCAGAGAAGGCTTAGAGGTCTGCAGCTCCAGGCAGCAGTGCACCTGTTCCAATCCAGGTATGATTCAACTTGGCCTGGAGGTCTGATCCAGAAGCAAAACAGGGCCTGGCACTCCCTGGTACGGAGGACTTAGTGGATACCACCACTATCTCTGGCTCTGAGAACTTCCTCTGTGCTTCAGACATGGTGCTAGGGCTCTCCCTCCATTCTCTAATTAGGTTCTCACAACCACCTTCAAGGCAGGAACTCCTGTACCCTATATGCTGGTGTGGGAGCTTAAACATTCATGCCTTTCCCTCAGAACTAGACAGACATATAAAAAATGAAATTAAGTCATTTGCAATAAAAAGGGTGGAACTTGAGAACACTATCTTAAATGGAATAAGTCAAACTCAGAAAGTCAAGGGTTATATGTTTTCTTTCATTTGTGGAAGCTGAAGAAGAAAATCAGGAAGAGGGTTTTGGATCTCATGAAAATTGAAGGGAGATAAGTAGAATAGAGGAAAGGGATTGGGAGGCAGGAGGGAAAGAAAAGGAAAAATACTAGGGAATAATATTGGCCAAAATATATTGTTATATTATGTGCATGTATAAATACGCAACAATGAATCCCACTGTTATGTACAACTGTAATGTACCAAAATATGGAAAAAATAACTGGACAGGCACAATTCTTAGTAGTAGGATGGCTATCCATATTTTCCAGAAGCCCAGCCCCCTGTTGCTCCACACTTTGAAAAAAGGCTGTGAGGCGAGTCCTCCAATACCCTCCATCTACATCACCTACCACTTTCAGAGAGGCAGGCCTGGGAACAGGGAGATGATGGTGGTATACCATCAGAGAAGAAAACTACACTGGAATCTGGATGTATGAAGCCAAGGTCTCCCACCACTATCCAGCCTTTCTGCAAGAGGAGTCTCTCTTCTACAAAAATCAGAATGACAATAATCACCACATGCCCCCTTTCAGGGCTATCTTGGAGATCCAAAATGACAGTGCAAACCACAGTGTTCTGTCAACTGTAAAGGCATCCATGGTCGGTCGGCTGCTGGGCTACTGACGGATACAAGGCAACTCACCTCAAAGCACTCTGTTTCATAATCCTGAGACCCACCTAGAAGAAACAGATCAGCACAGTCCTGGCTCTAGGAAACAAAAAGTGCTTACTGGGCACTCCTGATACTAGTCGAAGTGGTCGTAACACTCGGAAGGCACGGAGGGCTTTGACATCAAAGCCTCCTGATTTGCCGCTAGAGTGGTTCCCGCCTTCTGTTTCTTTGGTTAATTGTTCCAAAATTACACTAAACAATCTGAAAGAAAGAAAGAAATGTCTGTCACTCAGGGAAGCAAAATAGGATGATAATAGTAGTTATTTTTAAACAAGGGCTAATTCTGGGAGGCTGCTGCTTAAGTAAAAAGGAGGCAGAAAATAGGGTTCTTACCCTATCCCTTGTTCTAAAAGGATTTGGGATAGGAGCTAATGTCATCTGTTTCCATGCCAATAGAGCATCCCAAAGCAAGTTAACCTCCACCAAAGTAAAGGCTCACAGGGGATCCAGTGATGACAAGTGGAATTGCCCCCAATCAAAATGGAAATAACAGTGATCCTGGTGATCACCATCTATGAGTACTGGTGATATACGTAAGCACTTCACATCTCATCACATATGTTGTGCAGCAGGGATCAACAACATTTTACGTGTGCAGAGACAAATTCAATGGGAACAAGTAATCTGTTCAATGTCACGCAACTAGTGGCCAACCATTTGAAACCAGGTGTGCTGGTCCCATGAGAATGCAGGTTCCATAAGGACACAAAGTCTTTTCAAAGACTTTGTAAAATAATTTGTTTTTTACTGTTTTGTTCCTTTAGTCTGTTCTAGCCTAGTGCCTAAAACAGCTCCTAACATACAGGAAGTGCTCAAAAAATATTTCATGAGTAAATCAATGAATGACTTCAAAGTCCCACATCTTAATGTGTTATACCACTTTCAAAGCAATCACTGACACACACCCCCACCCAAACCCTCATAGGAATATTTAGGAAATGATGTAAATCACAGATGCTAAGGAGCTGTGCAAAGACTAAAAACAGTTACCTGAGGGAAGGGATTAATACCATTCTCTTTTGAAATGTGAATAATATTGTATCTGGCAAACAGGATGAATTTTTTCTTGCTCTCAGAAGGTTTTTTTTTTTTTTTCCAGATAAAGCTATTTTCAGGCAATCTGTTCATTTGACAGTTACTTTTACTCTTTAAATAAATATTTATTCTTTGGAATTGTTACTCGTTTTTCAGAATAAATATAAACTTACCCACTACAAATAGCATCAACTCTGGCCAATCAGATTGTAGGAATGATTGGCCCAGCAACAAAGAAAAGGTTCCTAAAGTTTAATTAGCAGCCAAAGGAGAAATTCTGCCACCACTGGCAGGCCTCTGGATCTCCAAGACACTAAGTCCATAAAACGCAGGGTGGTCTGATTACAATCCTGATCGGGCACAGCCATGTCATTCTGGGCATTTATAGACCAGCTCTTTGTTGTAATAACAGTACAGCAATTAGCAACAGATCCAGCCAGAAGGGAAAATAAGCCAGATATCTACCTTTTCAAAGACTTTGTAAAATAATTTGTTTTTAGTTTTTCAAAGCCTCTTACGACAGGCTCTCCCTAGTTATAACTGGGGAAACATATCATATTTATGATAGGTTTCTCATTAGCCTAGTTTAAAAAAATTACTGTGAACTCCTTCAACAAGAACAAATTCATAGCCACACAGAAACCAAGCAAAAGGAAGAAGAAAAACCTCAAAATCTTCTGAAATGTAGAAGCCACAGGAATTTTCATCCCATGGGGTTAGGAAAGTAATTTATGCAGGTGGTGACTTAAGATTGCCTTCAAGTATCAGTGTTTTTCACTGTGTACTTTATAGTTCTTTTATACCCTGTTCTTCAGCAATGGCCTTGAAAATAGGTGAATAATGTCTCTCCCATTGCAGAAGAGGCTGAGGAGGAGAGAAGCCAGCTGCTATTCCTGGACTGTACTGGGCTGGAAGGGGCTGGACTACTTCCATACCTAACAATTCTGAAACTGTTAGGAGTTTAGGAAAGTTTCTTTCTTTGGGCCTCAGTATCCCGCTAAGTAAAATGAGAAGTCTGGATTTAGGGACACCAGAACCCTGCCCTTCCCATTCTCATATTCTGTGATTCTAGTTCCCCTCATTACCACTGTACCAAAACACACATACATACACACACAGTGCCTAAAATGATAAGGACATGAGAAGAACATAATATTTACCCCAAGACAAGAGGAAAAGAAAAAAGAAAGAACCGCCTTAGTAGCTGCAGAATGAGGACACCATGCTCTTCTTCACAAAAGTTTAAGGGATGAGCCTGAATGCCTAAATGTCTCTTTACTGAAAAGTCAGAGAAGTAGGATAAAAGTGGATTTGAATCAGACTGTATTTTAAAGGGAGTGACGTCAGCTCTGCTAGGCCCATTGAGTCCTCCTGTGGTCACATTATTAACAGCTAATATTTTAGAAACACCCATTACTTCCTTAATGCTTGGTTAGTGGGAATATTGACAAAAATAATAGGTCATTGTGGACTTGGAACAGAAAATCCATTGGACTGAGATACAGACCGTAGTTGGAAACTCTAGTGAGCAGGAATTTGATTCAAATGAACACATCATAATTCATCTTTTAAAAACTTTTATTCTACTTTTTCTTGGACTGTAATTTAATGTACATTTTAGATAAAAAATAATAATAATATGCTCTAAAGTTTTTCATATTTAATGAGAAAAAGATTGATGAGTCCGGTTCTACTTTAGTTTCCTATGTAACTTAACTTTTAAAATCAAGTTTATTATTTTAATTTACAAACAATAAAATATACCCATTTATAGTGCAGAATAAGGCGAGTCTGCAAAGCATATGTCTAGGTAACAAACACGACCACCAAGGTGGACTATCTCCAACCCCTCCAACAGCTCTCTTATTCCCTAATGCAGTCATCTTCCCTCTGTCCATTCTCAAGGATCCACAGCTTGGCTCTTTATCCACATAAGATTTTTCCTCTTCTATAGCCTATAACAATAGGATCATGTAGTATATTCTCCTTTTTGTTTATCTTCTTTTGCTTACCATGTTTTCTTTAGGTTCAGCCAAGTTGTTAAATTTATCTGTAGTTTGTTTCTTGTTACGGGGAGTAAAATTCCACTATGTAAATAAATCAGGGTGAGTTTATCATTCACCTGTTGTGGGATGTTTGGATTATTTGAAACCAGCTTTCCTCTATTATGAATAGTCTTTCTGTGGACATGTGTTTTCATTTGCCTTGGATAAAAACCCAGGAGAATTAGTAATAAAGTCACATGGTGGGTTTAATATTCTAAGAAACTGGAAAGATTTTCCTAAGTGATCGTACCACTTTCCATTTCTAGAGGTATTGTGTGAGAGATCCAGTTGCTCCACATGTTGGCTAGGGTTGGATATTTTTGGTCTATTTACGTTTAGTAATCCTAGTGGGCACATAGTGTTGCCATGTGGTTTCAAGTGACATTTTAAAAATTACTAATGATGTTCATCTTTTCAGAAGTTTGTTGGCCTTTCTTTGGGGGCAGGGTTGAAGACCTAGTCAAATTTTTTGTTCACTTATGTCTTACTATTAAGTGGTAAAAATTCTTTATATATTTTGAATACAAGTCCTCTGTTAGATGTAGATACTATGAACAGTTTTCCTACTCTGAATTGGCTTTTCACTTTCTTCTGTCTTTTGAAGGAAAGTTCTAAATTTTGACAAAAGTCTTATTTTTCAATTGTATTTTTTATGGCTTTGTATCCCTGAGAAATTTCTGCCTACTCTGAGATCATAAAGATATTTTCCCATATTTTCTCCTAGAAATTTTATAGTTTTTAAATCTCACAAGTAGGCCTCTGATCCATGTTAAGGTAATAATTATATATGGTTTGAAGTAAAAATAGAATTTTTTATATTGATGAACAGTCATACCAACACCATTTGTTGAAAACAGTTTCTTCTTATAAAGACATTTTTCTAAAACCAATTGATCACAAATATATGGGTCTATCCCATTGATTTTTATGTCAACTCCTTATGCCAATGTCATACTATGTTGACTCCTACAGCTTTACAGTAAGGCTTAAAGTCAGGTTCCAGCTTTGTCTTTAAAGATTTCTTAGGCTAGTATAGAGTCTCTCTCATTTCCACATAAATGTTGGAATAAGACCGTCATTCTTCTACAAAAATCCTGCTGGGATCTATATTAGGATTCAATACATAGGGTGTAATTTCTTTCCAAATCAAGCTAACAATATTGAATCTTTCAAAATTTAAGCACAGTACTCCATTTCTTTAGATCTTCTTTAATTTCTCTCAGCAAGATTTTGTCATTTTAGTGGACTATTTATGCCTAAATAGTTTAAGTTTGGGGGGCTCTAGTGTAAAGTAACATTATAAATATTCATTTCCAATTGCTAGTACGTAGAAATCCCCGTGATTTTTTTTTTTACAGTGCCCTTTAATCTAGAAACATTCATTCAGAAAATCCATCTATGGTTTTAATTTTTTAAATTCTCTGAGATTTATTTTATGGCCAAGAATGTTGTCTCTCTTGATAAATGTTCCATGTACAAATGAAAAGAATGTGTATTCTGCTCTTATTAAACCAAGAGTTTAAAAAAAAAAAAAACTAACAGTCAATTAGGTCAATGGTATTGTTCAAGTCTCCCTACATCCTTAGTGATTTTCTGTCTACATGATCCATCAATACACTTCAACAGAGTATTGAGACGTACAATTATAGTTGTAGATTTATCTATTCCTCTTTTGCTTCTATCAATTTTTACTATGTATTTTGAAGCTCTGTTATGAGACATATGTAAATAAGGATTGTTACATTCTCCTGATGAAATGATTTGGGGGCACAGGGTGCTGGGGAAATCAAACCCAGGGCTTCAGACATGCCAAACAAGTTCTTTACCACTGAGCCATATCCCCAGTCCCAATAAAATGATTCTTTACCATTATGAAGTCTCTCTCTCTATGCCTGATAATATTCCTTATTCTAAAGTCTACTTTTGAGGTAGTAATATAGCCATTCTGGCTTCATTTTGATAATTTTTGCATAGTATACATTTTCCTGTCCTTTTACTTTCAAACTGTGTCTTTATATTTAGTGTGTGTGAAGACACCAAAGAGTTGGGTCTTGTTTTTGTACATGCACAGTATGATAAGCTCTGGATATCAATAAGGATTTCACTGAGCTTAAATCTACTGTCTCACTATTTGTTTTCCATTTGTCCTGTCCTTGGTTCCTCCTCCTCTTTCCTGCCATTTCTGGACTGAGTTTTTGGGTTTTTTTCTCATTTCACTTAGGCTCCACTATGGGTTTATTAACTAAACTTCATCATTTTTCTAGTGGTTTCTCTAGGGCAAGTGCCAAGAAAAAAATTTCCCATAAAGTGCCAGATAGTAAATATTTTAGGAGTTGCAGGCCATAAGGTCTCTGGTGTAACTAATAACTTTGCCATTAAACAACAAATATTCATTGACATGTGGTTGAGTTGCAATAAAACTTTACTTGCCAAAGAGGTAGCAAATAAGCTACTTTATCACTGGGGGCAAGAGGACAAGCTTAAACCAGATTTGATTTACAGAGGATAATTTGCCATTTGGTCTCTAATGTTTAAAACCTACATGTTAACTTATCCTGCTCTGTCTTCAAGTATTTTATCATTCTACCTATTGCATAAGCATTTGATGAGTGTAAAACAATTATTTCTCTGTTCCGGACTTTTGTGAATTGTTATATATTGTTTCTATAGAAGGTACAGACTCTACATTTTTTCTCCTAAAGAGCTTCTAAAATGAGAAAAGAAGTCTTTATATGTACCCATCCATTTATCTTTTCGGGCATTCTTTGTTTTGTGTAGATCCACATTTCTAGCTGGTGTTATTTTCCTTTAGTCTCAAGAACTTTGACATTTCTTGAGGTGCAGGTCTATCAGTCATGAATTCTCAGCTTTGATTTGTCTAAAAGTTGTTTATTTTTACTTCAGTCTTGGAAGATATTTTACTGAATAAGAACCATAGTCTGACTATTTCCCTCCAGAACTTTAAAGATGTCTATCATCTTTGGCTTCCATAGCGGATAAAAAGTCTGTGATGTCTTTTTCTCCGTTTTAAGATTTTCTCTTTATCTTTGGTTTTTAATAAATTGATTATGGTTATGACGTGCCTTAATGTGGCTTTCTTCATGTTTGGTCTGCCCAGCAGATTTTGAGCTTGTTTAATTTCTGAGTTTTTATTTTTCATCACATTTGGAAAATTTGAAGCCATTCCTTCAAATATATTTTTTTTCTGTCTTCCCTCAAACCTCTCCTTCTGTGATTCTAAAATATATCAGTTAAACCATCTGATAACTTCCCACAGGTTACCAAGGTGAAGTTCATTTTCCCCTTAATTATTATTTTTGAGTTGCTATATCTAATTCCCTGAGTTTTTTCTTTGATAGTATCTTAATATGTTATTAAGGCAATTCAGAAATTTTTTTCAGAGATATTTTCAGCTCTTAACATTCCATTTGGTTCTTACATTGTCCCATCTTTCCTCGTTATAGTTATATATTTCTTTTAGGTCACAAACATTTAAAATAGCTGTTTTAAAATTATGTAATGACTTTCTTGCTAATGCCATCATCTCTGTCATTTCTGAGTTTGTTCCTATTGACAGAATTTCCTCCTGATTATGAGTCATATTTCTTCATGGGTCCAGTCTTATTTAACTAGATGCTGGACATTTGGGAATTACTTCAAGTATTTAGATCTCATTCTTTTCCTCTGAAGAATGCTAAATTTTGTTTTGTCAAGCAGTTACAGTATTCGCAGTGGGTCTTCTCCTTTTCAGGCTTCTTTTCAAACACTGTTGGCAAGGGTTTCAGATAATCTTTACACTAGAGCACAGGATGGCAAACTTTTTCTATAAAGGGCCAGAGAGTAAATAACTTAGCCCTTGTAGACCTAAACTATTCACCTCAAGGATGTAAAAAATAAATATGGCTATGTAACACTAAAACTTTATTTATAAAAGCAAGCAGCAGTAGATGGGCTAGGATTTGGCCCATTTTTGCCAATGCCCACTCTAGAGCTGCTTTAGCACAACTACTGATGGTTTTACTGAGGTCCCCACTGCAAATCCAGGGTGTTTAATGAGGCCTTTTACTCCAACTAGTCAGAACTGGAACACCTTTCAGTCCCGTGTCAGCTCTGGTTGTTATTTACTTTATAGCTTCCCAGTTTCTCCTCTTCCTAACAGTGCTCTTTGCCTGGCCTCTTGGAACTATACTCCACATAAGTGTAGCTTAGTCTTCTGCCCCAACTCCAGAGGACCTGAAGGCATATTCATGAAGCCCTCTATGATGAGTTCCCTCCCTTCCCAAATTTGAGGTACTCAGTCATCCTGAACTCTTGACTCCTAAACTTGGTGAGATCACCATGTTTGCTTTGTTCCATGTCTTTGAGCTGTGCCGGTATGAACAAAATGTCTCCAGGCAGAAAGACAAGGTGATTATAGTAAAAGCAATGGAGGTAAACATCTCCATTCTCTACCTGAACATAAAGTCCAGGGGCAGGTGAGGTACAACAGGGTTAATTACAGAACCAAGAGACCTACAAGGCTCCTGCTTGCCATTCTTCAACACAGTGCACCATTTCTATATATCTGCCAACTGTTCATTTTTGATGCACTAACTTTGCAATGATGACCTAGATGCTAATGTGCTTTGGTGGTTTTTGTAAAAGCTAACTTTCTTCCATATGGATCCCACTGTAACTTTCTAGGTTGAAAGGACAGGCCCCAAACTGATTTCACTCTTCCAATATCCAGTAGAATTAGTCTCCAATGATAAGCCAGTGGATTCATGATCAAAGGATAATCCAAAAGAAAAAATCACTTGCACAAATGCAAAAGGCAGCTAATCAAAGTTGTGGAGATGAAAATAGCCTATTTTTAAATCCTTCTCTACAGACACAATTTTAGGAAAAACCATACAGCAGCTAGGGTAACTAAGACTTTGATAACTGATTCATTTCTCTCCTAGGTGTGAAAGGAGTAGGAAAACACAGGCCACTACTTTTTAACATTCTAACTAAAACTATTGGCATCTTCTTCCTGAAACAGGAATTTGAAAGAACACCTGCTTCTCTGCATTTTCTAACTTATTTCCCTTTATGCCAGATACCTGACATTATTCAGACAATTGTTTTTGTTTTTAAAATGGGATTGTGATGTGACAGTTTCTCCCATAAGTCATCAGAAAAAAAAAATAGCTTTGCTCAAGGGATGTTAAACAACAGAATACTTCTGCTATGAAGGGGTGTATATGTAATTTTAGCAGGGTGCTATGCTTAAGAGCTCCACTCATTTTCTCTGACCACAGCAAGGATAGTTTATTTGTGGAGGTTCAAGGCTTGTAAGGTGAACCGTCTTATATCAGGAGCTCAGCTTCCTTTCTGTACCATGTTACTGAATGTAGGAGTATGAACCTTCAAACCAGTCTCTGCTCAAAGACGGACAGAACAGTACTGACAGCCTCAGTAGCATTCCTGGTAGGCCCTGGTGCAATAATTGGCATAAAAGAGTAACCATCTTCCCTCAAAAGACTGTGTTCTCTTCATCTCCCAGCCCCACCCCTTTCCCATTTTCCAGATAAACATTTCCTCCAAGTAAGAGGGACTTACCCTACTATTACTATAACAAAATCCAGTAAATTCCATCCATTCCTAACATAAGCATTAGGATGTAGCAATAATCCATATGCAATTATCTTCAAAAATGTCTCGACTGTAAAAATAATCAGGAAGGCATATTCTACTTTTTCCTGTGAAGAGAAAGAAACACACACACACACACACACAAAAAAATGTGGGGTGGGAGAGACAAATAAACAGTGATTAGAATCAATATCTCAAAGATATAAGCATTTTTCTCCCAAGTTTTATTATGAGAAAGAAAACAATTACACTGCACCTAGTCCAGGAAGGCATTTTAACACTGAATTTCTCATAAGCAACTAAGTGTAAAACACTTTTCATTCCAGGCTGAATGATTGCATTTTGCCACCTGCCCTAATGCGTGTGCAATGAGTCTGCCTAGGACATAACGGGCATGTTTGTTATTTGCACATATTTGCAAAACGCCTGTTTTCCTCCTGAGATTGCCAAATCAGGTCCAGAAAAGCACAAGGGTGCAACAAAGATTTCAACAGCAACCTTGAACAGAATGTCCTCTGGAAGGAATGAAAATGTGCCTGTTTTGACCCTTACTTCCTCTTAAGTTCATGTCTAATTTTAAGTTAGAGTCAGCTTTATCAGTGAAAAACCAGGTGACCTTGGGCAGGTCCCTCCCCTTCTCTGGGCATAGCTTCCTCATAGGCAGATTGAAATGGAGTAAATTCAGATGCCAAACACTGTCCGACTACTGGCGAGCTGCCTCTCGGTGGCTGACACTTCTGAGGCGCCATCACGTGCTTGTCCAGGGAGCCTGGGCTCAACCTCCAAATCCTTCTCCTCCACCAGCCATTCTCAGACTGCCAAACACCTCAGTGTGCCACCTGCTTGAGGACTACAAGACGGGAAACCTTCCAATTCCAACCCATCGTGATTCTACCAGCTAAGGAAAACACCTCAATCATTAGTTCTAAATGTTTTTAACTCCTTTTTTTTTAAATAAATGTTTTCTTCATGGGGCCCTGGTTTCAATAAAAATAGGGACTAACAGGAATATGCATAACCAAGAGGCATTTCTGGGCAAGAAGCTACTTAATAACTAAATGAAAAAAATCACTTAGCATATCTTCTGTCCTGAATAAGAAGCAGGGATTAGGAAAAATTCTCCACTCCCGTCCTCATCCTTGAAAAGTCTGGTCTGGTGGGGGAATGTGAGGGTTTCAAACCTGCACCCACAGAACCTCTGGAATCACAAGAAGGGTATCGGATAAAGAGCAATTCTCTACTTTTAGCCCTCTGCTAAGGCCTAAATCCTCATCTACTTCTCCCTTACCCTTCCTTTTCATGACTGACAAAGTGGGAGCTCTGCTATGTCATGTATGTTGTAGACATTTTTATAAATGCAAACTTTTGGTTTTTAAAGAAAATTTAAGCTCCTGAAGGAAAACTATTTTTAAAATAATCTCTTAAAATATTCACTTTGGGATGATACCAACAGACCTTATATATATTTGCTTGCAGAAGCTCCAGTACCCTTTTACATTCAAATGTTAAGTCTTGCCTAAACTACCCCAGGCTCTGTCTGTGACCAGAGTACTGCCCCCCTCCCTGTCCCTGGCTGTCCCAAGGGGAGCTTCCCCCATGCCTTGCTGCCATTATCTCCTTGTTAGCCACCAGGGGAACCATCCAAACATGGCTGTGCATCCTAGCCAGCACCCCTATTTGCCACTCTCCACTGGTCATGTAAAAGTCAGTTTATCAGTTCTTTCTTCCCTTGCCCCAGAGCATCATGGTGCCAGTCATTTCTAAACCTGCCCTCCAGAGCTGCCTTTGATCCCTGGCATACCATCACAGCAGGAGGCACACCACACAATCCTACATTCACCCTGCTGTGATATCCTGAGAAGAAGCAGGGCACATTTTGCCACTGGTGGGGGTGGGGGGCAGATACAAGGAAGGCTTGTATATGGCAGGAACTGTTAACTCTGAAAGCTCAAGGAAGAATTCTGTTATGTAAACCACAGGAAAAAAAAAAAAATCCCTGAAAACACAACCTGCTATACTCAAAATCAGACCCTGGCCACCAAATGCACATCGTCAATATGTTTTTGAGACATAATATTCTAAGGGAACGAGATAATCTAAAAACAGCACATTGATTTTACAATTCCTCTTCCGTTTTTATCCTTTCTGCTTTATTTACTAGGCCAGACAGGAAAAAAAGGCTTTTGCTGCTATCAATATTCATAGCAGTTACATCCCTACGTCAAGACAGCACTATACTTCAGAGCAGAAAAACAAGGAAGGGAACAGAGAGTCCACCTACCAAACACAGCTTGTTTTTCCTCTTTGGCTTTTATTTATAAGTAATTTTGCCTCCACAATACAAGGACCATTAGTATAACTAAATTGGTGAAGGTTCTTTTATACCCTTCCCTGTCCTCTTCCCCCCCCCCCCCCCCCCCCTTTTTTTTTTTTTTTTTTTAAAGACTTTGGCTTCCTTTTCCAAAATCCTTGGTGAATTACTTGATGGAATCAATTCTAAAAAATGTAACATTGCTTTAAAGTGATTCTTTATTACAGAGATTCTACCATAACTGAACAATCAGAGCCCATAGAACAGGTTGCCCAGAAGCCAGTGTCATCCTGGTCCTCAGTCCTGACACTAAAAAGGACTCCTATGAGATAAGTGTAGCTCTACATTAAACAAATGCAGAGTCTTAAAAAAAAAAAAAGATGCAAAACAAAAATACAGGGAGTGGGATAATTATTTGCTTTACAAAAGAATTGGTCATTTGAGAAAAGAAAGTCAAATGAATTTGAAAAGGAAACCAATAAGAGATTCAGGTTTCTAACTGCACACAGGGCAAACAGGAGGCAAGATGTGGTACAGAGCAGACACTGAGGTCTCTCTGCCAAGACAGATCTGAGCACAGGAAGATGCAACAGTAAGGATGAGGAAGAAGTAGCTGAGCAAGAACCCTTCAGACCAGACATGCAGTGGGCTGTCCCTCCTATACGGCCTGGACAGAGCTACATTTTAAAAGTTCCCCTTCCCAGGCTAAACAGAAATACTACATGATCTCCAATTCCCCTCCATATGTCAGGCAGAGCCAGGCCTGTGTCACTCAGCCACCCACCATGCCAGGTTTCTCCTCATGGCAAGAGGTCCTGTTTAGCAGAGTTCTCCCTTTAGAAAACCACCACATTTTGGAGCCAGGGTTGTGGCTCAGTGGTGGAGCACTTGCCTATCATATGTGAGGCACTGGGTCCAATCCTTAGCACCATGTTAAAAATAAATAAAATAAACGTATAAAAAACATAATAACAATCTAAAAATGTGAGATTTTGTGATCCTTATATACCTATCAAAAAGCAAAAGACAGGGTATATATCTTTCTAAATCACTGTAAATGCTTTCTAGGGCAAGTTTGGAATAAATGGTCAAACTGATGAGATAAAAGCTGATGTCATTTTACCTAGCCCTCCCTTTCCATTCCAACCTGCAGGCCAGGGATAAGTTCTTTAATCTTCCATCCTTCCCTCACTTCCTCTTCCAACTTTCTCACTTCTTTTCTAGGAGACTCCTTCACATCATAGGCCAACCTGCCATCTCCTACATATCCCCGGGACTTTTCTACTCCCACGCCTTTACTCAGCTGGCTTCGCTTACCTGGTCTATATATACATCTGCCCCCATATATGGAAACTTCCCTCTTCAGAGAGAGTGAATACATAGGTCTATAATACAGGGCTAAAAACAAGCACAGCATAGTTGAGAGAAAAGAACACAGGACTTGTTGCCGTAATATTTGTTTTCTGCTAGTCACAGCTTAGCCACTGATTCATGCTGTGGCCCTGGGCCACAGTGGAACAATTCCACATCCTGTTCCCTCTTTCTAGAATGTGTCCCCACCCCCCTTTTCCCATCAACCTAAGCTCTATTTGTCCTTCAGGGCTCAGCTTAAATGGTACTTCCTCAGCATAACCTTTTCTGACCTCCCAGACAAAACTGGAGCCTGCTGTCATATACTGTTAAAGCCTATTATAATTCACAGCCCTAATTCACAATGAAAATTTAACTTTTTAAAGATTACCTTTTTAATAGAGAGCCCAGATATAAATCTACACATTTATAGTCAAATCATCTTTGACAAAAGATGCCAAGAACACAAAATGGGAAAGGACAGTCTCTTCAATTAATGATGTTGACAGAACTAGATATTCACATGCAAATAAAATCAGACCCTTTAATCTCACACCATATACAAAAACAACTAAAACCAGAATTTTAAAATTAAGACTTAAAATTGTACACATTCTAGAAGAAAATAGAGGGTAAAACTTCTTGACATTGGTTTGGGCAAAGACTTTGGCTATGACCCCCAAAGCAAAAACTAGTCAAAAGGCAGTACATCAAATGAAAAAGCTTATGCATAGCAAGTGAACAACAGAATAAGGACAATTTAGGGATCAGGAGAAAATATTTGCAAACCATATGCCTGATAAGGGATTAATATCCAAAATATACAAGGAACTCAAATAATTCAACAGCAAGAAAATGACACATTTTTTAAAAAAATGAGCTAAGGAATCTTTAGACATTTCTCAAAAGATACCATACAATAGTCAACAGGTATATGAAAATACTAATTGTAATACTAATTATTAAGGAAATGCACATTAAATGAGATAGCACCTCATACCTGTTAAGATGGCTATTATTAAAAAAAGGAGGAGGAGGAGGAGAAGGAGGAGGAAGAAAAGGAGGAGGAGGAAGAGGAGGAGGAGGAGGAGGAGAAGAAGAAAAGGTGGCTATTATCAAAAAAACGAGACAGATGATGGCGAAGATGAGGGAAAAAGTGAACCCGGGCATGCTGATGGTGAAAATGTAAATTACTAAAGTTATTATGCAGAACAGTATGGAGATTCCTTTAAAATTAAAAATAGAACTACCATATGATACAGCAATTCCATTTCTGGAAAATATTCAAAGGAAATGAAATCAGTGTGTTCAAGAGACATCTGCACCCTATGTTTACTCTAAAGCATTATTCACAACAGCCAATATACAGAATGAACCTAATGTCCCTCAGTAGATGGTTGGATAATGTCATTCATTATACATATATCTCCATCCACCCCAAACTAA